GAATGCTATAACCATGACTACTGCACTGTTTGAATTTTTTAAATTAGGGGTGGCCACAAGGTGCTATTTCAAGTTCATGTGCTAATGAGGCAAGGTTCATATTGATTTTGAATTTCCCTTAGAAGTAAGTCAAACACTCTTATATGATGGAAATTCATGTTGGAGACTGATCATTATGCAAAGCCACAAAGCATATGGAGTATTTTAGCGATTCCCCTTCTGAGTAACATTAAGTTCCAAATAATCTTTCTTTTCTTTATGATTGTTATTCACTAAAATGGTGGCTATGTATCCAGAGGTAGAACCAATGAAATCAGGGAACCAATTTCACTCTTTTCTTTTCTTTTTTTTTTTTTGAATCAAAGTTTAATGACTGGTGAAGACAGTATCCTTGACATGATATGAATCCTTAAAATTCATTTTAGGCACATCAAAAATAATTATTGTATTTGACCATTCTTTCTAAGGAAATTTTATTCTAAAGTATAGGTACTTGTAAATATGCCCCATGGTCTTTTTTTGCATGCAGTGGCTGGAGGAGAATGTCACATGTCCTGTGTTACAGGGCCTCCCCTGGACTTAAAAGTAGGCCAGTGGTCAGAAAGCCCCAGCGTTCTTCCTTATATATTCCTTACTACGGCTCTGGGGCTGTCGGCACACATTATCTCATAGTATAAAAGTCTCAGAATGAGGGTGAAGCAAGAGTTTGGAGAGTTCTGTTTAATCAAAGGCAGTGAGTTAAGCACATTATTGATATCAACCTCCCTCACTGTTGGTGAGCTCACTATTGGGCTGCCTGGTTTGTTAGGAGACAACCTTGCGGAATTCAGGGCTGCAATTGACTTCCATGTGTAATGGTATTTAGGAACTGAACAGCTCCTGGGAACACAAAGAACTCTTTTCAGAAACTGTAGCTCTGAATGAGTTAGGCTGGAAGCTGGGAGTCTGTAATACAGTACAGAGGTTAGGGTGAAGACCAGAAATATTAAATAGTGGGTCTTGGCTTACCAATTAGGAAAGAATGTTCTAATAATCAGGTCCAGAAATTGGAAGGGGCTGTTTTTCTAATCTTGCTAACTTCAGTCATTAGAAAAACTAAAACTGAATTTGGATTAAGGGCTATGCTGGTCTATATAAAAATTTGCCTTGATTAGAAGATGGTACCCATGTTTAGTTGACTTAAGAAAAGCTGACCTGTCTCTGTGGATGCATCTCAACACCTGCTTTGTGACTTGGTGAACAGAGAAAAACTTGCATCTTGGCTTCCCCTTTGCCCTTCAGATGGAACTTTTCTGCAGTGTGTTTTTATTAGAAATGCTGTAGATCAACTTCGTGTGGTAGATATGAGTTAGAAACTGATGCTGCCCATGACTTGTGAGTCTGTATTTCCAGTACAACTTGGATACATTTCAATGCTTTAGGTGCCTGGCCCCTGCGCTTGTGAGGCATCACACACAAACCTAGTCAGTCTTCACTTGTCTCTCTCAAAACCCGGTAAATGCGAACCTGTCTACAACCAGCTTCATCCTTCCCAATGCGAACCTGTCTATAACCAGCTTCATCCTTCCCAAAGACTCTGAGTTCACTCAAGCCTGGCCCGGTTCCTGGACACTTCCTGATCACTTTGAACACTCTCAAGGCCAACACGATGCTTCTGCAGAGTCTCCAGCAGGAGGGTGGCGACCTCTCTTGTGGCATCTCACTCTCTTCTGCACATCCTATCCAGGGTTTCCTCACTCCACAGTCCAGATCCTATCATATAAAGAAAAGGACTTACGTTAAAAAACAAGGACAGTTCTTAGATTTGGAAAGGGTATGGAGAAGCTGAAAGAGTGAAGACAAACACTCTATTTTCTCCCTACTACCTCCGCTTGTTTTCTCTCCGCATTGCTATCCCCACTCTCTTAGAGCACAGAGTGGCAATTACGCTGCAACAGGCTGAGTGGTCCTTGAGCCACCCCAGGGGAGCGACTGCGTGCGTAATTATCTAGTGGACGCTATGTCTACAGCGTCTCCTACAAAGTCACCAGAAGAGGAATTTAATGTGAGTGACGGAGAAGAAAACCATGTAGAAAAGGTGTGAGGGAAGAAAGAAATATATCATGAGAAGGACTCAAGGTCTGTATCTGAAGACTACCTGAATACCAACCATAGTGCGTGACCAGATGGCTGGGGTCCAGGAAAGTGTTCCTGGAAGATGCAGCTTTTACTAAATATTTTGAAGATGTAAAGGAGAAGATCATGTGACTAAAGAGTCAGTGTGTTCTAGCCTGTGAACTTGCTGGAAAATAGCATCTGGGTGGAATGGAGGAATCTATCCCCAGTGATAATGAAATTCCCCCATTCCTGAACATACAACTCGTCCTGTGTGACTTCATTATTAATTTATCCATTTTTTCTGGGGGGGGGGTGGGAGAATGTTAGTTTTACCTTTTCCTATTTCCTACATTAAATATCTCTTTAAGTCCTAAAGTATAGACGATAGCTCCTCTCCCCTGCCCCCTCCTTCTCCACAGGGATTGTGTCAGACATAACTTGTTGAGTTAGAGTTTATGGTCAGCGAGTTGGGGTCAGTGGGGATGAGAAGACTCACACTGCTTCTGTTAATATGTTTGAGTTTAATGTTGGATAGGACAGAAATTTCAACATGTCAGTGATGTGATCAAAATGATGTTTCAGGAGGAAGAAGCTTCCTGTTGGTCCACATCTGAAGTGGAAGACAATCAGAATCTTTCGATGCCTATCGGTGCTCACTGGACATTCAGGGAAGAGATGGCCATATGGGTGGTATACACGACTGAACCTTAACTACCTTAGTCACTGAACTTTCAAATAAATGTTACTAGTCTTACCGAACGTTATGGGCTGGCCAAATCACTTTGAGGGTTTCATGCGTGTGAAGAAATTCCACATAAAGTTTCCTTTGTTTGGCATTGCTGATTATAAGTAAGATTGATAGCATGCTGCAGAGTGAAGCATTGGCAGGCTTTCCATAATGTGTCTACACGCAGGATTGGAAAAATGGAAGCAGAACGCTAGGTTTCAGCTTTAGAAAAGATTTTTTGGAAGGGTTTATTCTCTTAGGGACTGTCTGATGAGCTTTCTAAGAACTAATCTCTCATACAAATCTACCCCCTTGAGAGCAGGAATCACTTAGCACAGTTACTGGCCCTGATGCAGGACAGGTAGTTCTGAGTGGATTCTTTTATTCACTTTTCCTCATAGAAGTTCTGCTCAGGTGAATGATTTGTTTCTAGGTCTTAGCAGAAAGTTAGAGATTAGAAATGACAAAATAGTTATTGATTGGTGACTTCAGTGAACTTTTCAATGATTTTTCTTCTCATTTGTTTTGCAGGCGAGGTTTGAATTTATTGCCTAGATTTAATTTTAAAACTTCATGTTTATCTTAATCAGGAAAGTGATACACAATGTGTGTGCATGAAGCTTCTGATGTTCACTGTGCATACATGCTGGTAGAACACATGCCACCAAAGGAGAGATCTCCATGGCAAGGGAGAGCCAACCTGTGTGTTGGTTTTCATCTTTCTTCTGAGGAACTTGTATGTTAAATAACACGTTAAAAAGCTACCATTTGCAGCATCCTCTCTGAATGAGACTCCTCCTTCTCTCTCCTTCTCCGTCTTTTTCTTTGGCTAGGGATTGCACCAAGGGCCTCATGCCTGCTAGGCAAAAACCATACCACTGCGCTTCATCTCAGTCCCGATAAGACTCCTTTTCTATAAACCTTTAACTTACTGAGTTAGAAACGTATTAAAGTGTTAGAAACTGGAGTGATGTAGATATTCTGAAAAACAGAATAAATTCCATGCATTCATATAAAATGTGCATCTCTCTATATATTCAGGACTCATTAAACATGAAAAAAGTATTGCCAAGTAGATATAAAGCAAGGGATAGCGTACTTTTGAAGCTGGGAAAGTAGCTCTTCCACATATTTTAAGTAATGGGAGAAAACGCAACAGGGTCCATTAGAGAATCCATGGCTCTAACTCTGTGCCTCTCTAGCAATCTCCAGCATCTGATGTCTCTGGACAAACACGTTACAGAGCACTGCAGCAAACCACACACATGCTCTTCTTTTTTCTTCTTTCTTTCTGTTCTTTTCTTGGCTCTACAGTTTTACTTAGAATATTGGCTTTTTGGGCGAATTCCAATGGTCCAGATCATAATGCTAGCTTATTCTTCTGGAGGCAGTGGAAAATAACAATATCATAAAATCTTTGACAGTCTATTCTGTTATAAAACGTAACACTCATTCTTAAAAGGACAACACTCTACTAAAAGTTATGCCAACAAAAGGTAGTATTACACACACACATGCTCTCTCTCTCTCTCTCTCTCTCTCTCTCTCTCTCTCTCTCTCACACACACACACACAGTCTCTCTCTCTCTCTCTCTCTCTCTCTCACACACACACACACACACACACACACACACACACACACAGAGTGGCACTTCAAACAATAGTTTTAATGATACCAAATCCCTCAATAAATTTTACTTCCAGTGACATAAGTACGTTAATTCAAAACTTTGCGAAGCAATCAGTGAAAAGTGAATGAGCAGAAACAGGAAGAGAAATAAACCCTAGCCACAAATATTTGCTCATTCCGGTACTTATTTCTTTAGCCCAGGAGATGAAATTTCAGTTTGTTTATAAGAACTTGCTAGTCCTTCCTCAGATGGCATGGTGGCTATCTGAATGTTTTTTTGTATGAATGAAAACTCCGTGTCCCCAAAAATAAAATGACAAGGATTCATGTAGTCCCCTGTCATGTTTCTGACCTTTGTGGAGCTGGAGAATTTTAGCCATGTGGGAAATGGACACCTCAGAGAAGCATGGCTGCATTCTCTGAGCATACTCCCTGCAGCAGATCCCTGTGGCTGTCAGGACTTAGCTTTAGCTTGTGGAGACACTGGGCTGGCCCGATGCTTCCTGATTTCATTAGCATAGCCCAGCCCACTTCCAACACACGCCCCGCACTACCTCATTAACCATTGGGAATGCAGCCAAAAACATAAGACGACAGTGAATATAAGGGGAATTACTGGCAAGGGAGCTGTAGCCATCTCACCACCGAACCCACTCCTTTTCCAAGACCAGAAAAGTGTTCCATTAGCCGGAACCGTTTCTTACTCAGATAAGAATTCAAGGTTTGGGTCTCTAATTTTTATCTAGAACAATTAGCTGAACTCTGCACAGTAAGACACCCAGCTCAGTGCATCCATTTATGTTTCTGCCCTCTCTCTCTCTCCTCCTTTCTCTCCTCTTTTCCTCTCTCCCTCTCCTTTCTCTCCCCTCTTTCTTCCTCTCCCACTTCTTATTTTCTGAATAGCTTTGACATTGGAAACCAGGACGAACTGAAGCCTGGCATTGAAAGGAGGTGTTCAACAGAGTTTTTTTTTTTTTTTTTCACTCTCTCTCCCTTGTCTGAAGAAGTTGACTACTACAGGAGGGGATTTGAAAAATGACCGGAGCAAAGAGGAAAAAGAAAAGCACGCTGTGGGGCAAGGTGCACGCCCCCCACCGCGAAGACGTTAAACAGTGGTGGAAAAGGCGCCTACCTATTTTGGAATGGGCACCACAGTACAGTCTGAAGGAAAACCTGCTCCCTGACACCGTGTCTGGGCTCATGTTGGCAGTTCAACAGGTGACGCAAGGTAAGTGTGGCATTCGAGTTTACTCTTTTATGCTGAATGAGTGTTGCTTTGCTTCTTGGATGGGAATCATGATCTAGGTGTGACAGTCTAGTTAATGAAACAGACTTTTAATAAAATGGATATAAGCATTAGGAAAATAAGTATAGTAGATGTTTCTGTGTAAGATTTTCCTAATTGCTTTTAAAATTACTTGGCTTTTTTTTTTTTTTTTTTTGCTTGGAATTAAGCAATTACGCACCAACCCTTGAATGGAATTACATACTTTGCAATGTTAAAGTTCATACTGATTCAAAGTAAAAGATTGGTAATTGTGGGAAAAGGAACTCTTCTAACTTCACTGTGCTGGCATAATTTCCTACCTCCATCGAATCAAGCTATGAAATAGTTCCTGTTTTGAATACAATCACCTTTGCGCCTAATTAGCACCACACACTTACCTGCTGTAGCCTTGGGACTTGCTATAAGTAGGGAACGAAGCTCTTAGTACATAAAGGAGGCTTATTGCCAAGATCACTATTTGCGAAGAGAATCCTGCGTCCTCGGAGCATGTGCAGGCTGCTTGTGCCTGTTTACTCCTGCAGCGCATTTCCTGCAGCATGTGTGCCTCAATAAGAAATGAACACGGTGAGAAATCGGACTTCTAACGTTCCCAGAGCAGATTCAAAAAGAGGCATTCTTTGTGCTTGTGTGAGTGTGTGTGTGTGTGTGTGTGTGAGAGAGAGAGAGAGAGTGTGTGTGATTTCCCTAAAAGGTATGCTCACACAGGTTTTGGCTAACTCAGGTAGTAATTTTCTACCTGTAGCCAGGAGAGGAAGTGATTTCTCAGCTTCCCAGCCTTAAAACTTTGGAACAGTTTTCTTGGCAGAGACTCCTTGAGATTACATTTCAATACAGTCTCACTACCTCCCTGGCTTTAACTATTATTTATTCTGTTCAATTATAAGCATGTTTTTAATGAAATTATTCTGTAACTGGAACAAACTGGTTTGTGTGTTTGTGTTTTCAGTCTGATTAGGAACATCTGCACGGGGGTCTTTAAGAGCCACGATACTATCATACTTTATGGGGTCCAATTTTACTGCTTAACTCTGTGCTGTACTTTTAATGACCATTTTGCCAACAGCAAAGCATAGTAATCTTTAAAAAATGCAAAGTTAATAACAGGTCAGGACATCTCTAGGTTTTCTTGTCTTTGATTTTAAATTCCAGATTAAATGCCACATGATTTGACAGCTTAGGTGGTGAGTTTAGAGGTTCCGACAGGATAGTTTTACCATATCCTATAAACTGATTTTGCAGCTATTTAGTGTAAAATGAAAGGAGAGTAATGAAGATTTTAGCAGTTCTTGTCTTTTTATATTTGAAAAACACCCATTGACCAAGAATATTTGGAAATGTGATACAATTTCCTTGGGCTCATCATTAGGATATGGTTTGTGTGCAAGCCTTTGGTAGTTAGCTTTGTTCAGTTTTGAGTGAGTCTCTTTAATAGGTCACGTGTTACATTGATCAGGAAGAAGTGCTGGTAAGTCCCCAGATGGAGAGAATCAGCTCACTCAGCCCTGGTAGCAGAAGTATGGATCAGGCTGCTAGGTCTCCTGGAAATGGACAATTACACTGCTAGGAAGAATGTAAACACTTTTCCTGTTGGAAGAGAAGACGATCTCTTCTTCAAAGGACCTTTAAAAAATGAATTTCTCAATCTTTTTCATTCTCTTCTACTCTGAAGAGTTCAAAGGTAAAATATTACAAGCCCCCTATGTGTTGTTAGGGACTCGCTATTTGAAATAGTCCAGAGTTGTCATCGACCTTACCATGGGAGAAAATGGAGGCTTGGAACAGTAAATTTCCCTGGCGCTCATACCTGAGAAGTGGTGGAGTCAGGACTCGAGTCCAAAGCCAACATGCTCAACCTTTTCTCTTTACTCGCTATACTGCCAAAACCATCAGACGTTTTGCAAGACCAATGTTATTTGTAACAGGAGACATCTCTTTGGAAAAGTTGGAGCGTCTTTCTCCTCAAATGAGGCCCATGTTCAAGTTTCAGCCCTGAAGTTGTAGAGTCCCAGCAGAAGTGACCAGCAAAGCAGCACATGATGGAGCCCTGCAGACATACACTGCCCATTTTGCCAGAAGCTGATGCTTCTCACCAGCCCTGTCCCTGTAGGGAGATTAGGAGAAGGAAAGAGTGGAGTTTGCTCTTGTGCCTTACTGTAAGCAATAGAAACGGATCCCTTTCGACTTTACTGCTATGTAAAGCAGTATTTAAGTCATTTAACACAGTTGAATTATAAGGGATTTCTGATCCCGATGCCCTTTAACCTATAAATCCTGCCCACTTAGAAGTCACTTTTCCTTTCTCTTTATGTCTAGAAGTGGAGTCAAAATCAAGATAAGGAAAAGTATCCTGAGTGATACCACAGTCGTGTTAAACGATCTAATTCAAGACTTCTAACTGTGAGATAGATGTTTTTCATACACCTGGCTCCTCTTTTGCAGTGAACTGTTTCTTTTTCCCCCGCTCCTATTTATCTGGCCTTCTCTCCCAATGAACGTCTGGAGATTTTGCCTCCTCTTCTTCCTACCAAACGTCTTAGAGATGTTGTCAGACGTCCCCATCTTACAGACTCAAACCCTGGCCCCATGCTTGGCATGCTGTAGACAGCCTTGTCTGCATACAGGACTCTAACACCATCACTGTGCTATGGAAACTTTCTTTTCAATCCGAGAGCCATGTATTAATATACACCAACGAAGACTGTCCTAAAAGCACAGCAGATGCCAGAGAGCTCACCTTGTCACTTCAGAACTGGTCTGAAAGCACTAGAAACAGAACACTTGGTCTTCTAAAACAAACACACCAGACAATATCGCTACCCCAACCAGAATTACAGTAAGTGACAATAAAGGAACTTGTAGGCACAAATGTTCACTAATGTCAAGAGATCTCTTGGCATATATACCAGAAAGAGGTTTAAAGTGGGCAAGTCAGTTGCCTGAATCCACCCAGGACGTAAGGGCAGAAGGACAACTGATTTCAGGTAACCTTGCTCCAGAGTTGCCGGCTTGCTTTTGCACTCAGCATTCTCTTGGAGTGAGTCCTGTTTGGTATCCTGAACTCTTCCCTCTCTCCTGCCACCTTCGCCTTCTTCTGTAAGCCAAGTCCTTAATGTCTGTCCTCTAGCTGTTGCTATGGAGTTTGTGACTCTTGGGGAAAGACCATAGACTCAATCCAATTATAGTCAAAAGATTTATTGATTAGTTGGTATCAGAATAAATAATCTCTGAGCCAAATTTGAGATTGTCGTGAAGAAGGAGTATGGAGAAGAACTCCTAAAAGGAGGGGGGGGGGAATCACACGAAGACCTTCAATATCTATGCAAGCAAGCAATAGCTGTTCTCTTCTGCCAGGTTAAGTGGTTAAGGCAAATCAGAACAATCTGGGTATCTGCGTAAGCAAGTTACAGAGGCAAAAAAAAAACAGTTAGTCATAACATAACAAGTTTGTAGTCACACTGTACACTTTTGGGTGGGGGTCACTGAGTCAGGGTTACTGGGAACTTATCCTGCAGGGACTGGGGTCAGAGACAAATGGCTGGTGGGTATCCGCACGGATGCCTGGCATATAATGGTACCTCTTTAGCCATAACATTGTTTTTCCAGCCAAGTAGACTTACTTCATGTCCTTGCTGCTTCTTAATGGGCTGAATTACTTAAATCATTGTCTTGTGGCTCTTCACTGTCTGCTCTGCCTCCTGTAGTTCTTATGTCCCACTGCTGCCAGTATACCAATAAAAAAATTTAAAAAAAAATGTCTGACCATACTGCTTCCCTGTGCATAACTCTTTAATACTCGCCTATTTCTGCTAGAATGAAAAATTGAATTACTCAGCATGCCTTATTAAATGGTTAACAAACTGAACCTCACTGTGAAAAGCTGCACTAGAGGAGATCTCTCCCTCTAGAATCCCTCCCTGTCTCCTGGGAGGAGGAATGTTTTCCTCCTCCTCCCTTTGTCCTTTTTACATATCTCTGCGATAGGCTTTATTTAATACATGGTATTGTAAACTTCTGATAGAGTTCTTTCCACGTCTGTGAGCTCTGAAAACAAAGACAGTGTTTCCGTCTTTGTGTTCTTACCAACCTGGATATTACCTAGCACAGGGAAGTCGGGTTTAAGTAAACATTGAAAGGTTTAAGGCATTCCCTAAGCCGCTGGTTCTCCTATTGTGGCATGCTGACACTGTAGGAAGACTGTGGAATTCAATTTAAATCTGATGCTGTGAAAATAAGTGTAAGAAATATGCATAGGGAAAGGCATTAAAATTTGAGCAACAAGGGGTAGTCTACCTTCTTGTGTCTTTCTAGACAAAACTGCTAGAGACTCTTTCTTTGTCCCAAACAGTTGATTATTTAATTTTTCTTTTTCAAGCAGTTTTTGTTAATTCTTTGATAATTTCACATGGCGTGTTTGGATTGTATACTTTCCCTCCTCCAAACTTTCCCCAGATACCCGCTCCTTACCTGCATCCCTGTCTCTGTGCCTCCCTTTCCCCTCCTTTTCTCCCTCTTCACTCTTCAACCCACCGAGTCCAGTTTGCATTGGCTGACACTCCTGGGTGTGAGGCCTGTCCTGGAGTGTCAAATATTATGTTAATTATTATCATTATTTTTGTCCAACCAGTCCTATCAAGATGGATACATCATACAAACAATTCAACACTGTCTCTTAAAGAGAGAGGATGTGATAACACAGGACCCACATCCCCAAGTGAGGAGCTGTCCCTTCTTGCTCTTGGACAGGGCAGTTCTTGAGTCTGCCGTTCATTCACCCACAGAGATCCCCAAGCATTCCCATCACCTGCTCACCCTACAGGTAGCTGATTTTGTCTCCGTTGCAAGAAACTATCTCCCACATCTATGGCAAAAAAAAAAGCGTTGAACCTGTCCTTAAATAAAATGTTTATGGGGAGATTTCATAGCCTTAGTTTCTTAAACCA